AAGCTGTTTGATTCTGCTCTGTTATCGATTTCCTGCTACCCCAGGTAACTAAATACATGGATCTTAACCAAATTCGGTATGTATTTTAACTATTTCGTTCCACAGTATCATGCAAAGTGTCACCCTCCTACTATTCGTTTTAAAGGAGTTACGAGAGGTTTTGCGTTTTGTACCAGTACTTCATCAAATTTAGACGAATCTTCTTAATTTTTTTATGAAAGGTTCGTTTGAACATTGCACATTTACTTACAAAATTCTAACTTTCTAGTATTAGTTTCACGATTTTTTGGTCGTTTTGTTACTCTTTTATTGGCTTCCCTGAAAGCATAAGTGTACTGCAGTGAAGCTTTTGGTTACTGATTGTTTCTCGATTTCTTGTTACCAGAGGGTCTTGAATTGATTGTTCTTTACCAAATTTGGTATGTAGGTACACTTTATCGTTGCACAGTTATATGCAGAGTTTCACCCTCCTACTGTTCATTTTAACGGAGTTATGGAAGGTTTTGCGTTTTGTACCAGTTCTTCGTTCCATTTAGACGGATCTTCTCAAATTATTTTATGAACGTTTGGTGCATACCTGCGTAATGACATGAAAAATACAAGCTTCGTATTATCATTTTTCCGTCTTTTTTGGTCCTTTTTTACTATATTGGCTTTTTGAAAGAGTATGTGTACTGCAGTGAAGCTTTTTTAATTCTGCTCTGTTATCGATTTCCTGCTACCCCAGGGTACTAAATCAATGGATCTTAACCAAATTCGGTATGTATATTAACTAGTTCGTTCCACAGTATCATGCTAAGTTTCACCTTCCTACTTTTCGTTTTAAAAGAGTTACGAGAGGTTTTTCGTTTTGTACCAGTACTTCGTCAAATTTAGACGAATCTTCTTAATTTGTTTATGGAAGGTTCCTGGGAACGTTGCACATTTACTTACAAAATTCTAACTTTCTAGTGTTAATTTTACGATTTTTGTGGTCGTTTTTTGTTACTCTTTTATTGGCTTCCCTGAAAGCGTAAGTGTACTGCAGTGAAGCTTTTCGTTACTGATTGTTTCTCGATTTCTTGTTACCAGAGGGTCTTGAATTGATGGTTCTTTACCAAATTTGGTATGTAGGTACACTTTATCGTTAGTAAGTTATATGGAGAGTTTCACCCTCCTACTGTTCATTTTAAGGGAGTTATGGAAGGTTTTGCGTTTTGTACCAGTACTTCGTCAAATTTAGACGAA